TTGTATGGGAGGAGTTTGACTCTGTGGCTCCCGAGGACGTGGACAGGATCTTGGGGAGGCTGAATGCAACCACATGTTTACTGGATCCGTGCCCCTCCTGGCTGGTGCTGGCAGCTCGGGGGGGTGCACGAGCCTGGCTCCAGGGAATTGTAAACGCTTCTTTAGGGGAGGGTGCCTTCCCCGCGGCCCTAAAGGAGGCAGTGGTGAGGCCCCTCCTTAAGAAGCCCTCCCTGGACCCAGATGTATTGGCCAATTATCGCCCGGTCTCCAACCTTCGCTTTGTGGCGAAGGTTGTTGAGAGTGTGGTTGCGCAGCAGTTCCCTCGACACCTGGAGGAAACAGTCTATCTAGACCCGCTCCAGTCGGGCTTCAGGCCGGGATACAGCACGGAAACAGCATTGGTCACGTTGGTAAATGATCTCTGGAGGGCCCGGGACAGGGGTTATTCCTCTGTCCTTGTTCTTTTGGACCTCTCGGCGGCTTTTGATACCGTAGACCACGGCATCATGCTGTGACGGTTGAGTGGGTTAGGAGTGGGAGGCACTGTTATGCGGTGGTTCTCCTCCTTCCTCCCCGACCGTACGCAGTCTGTATTGGCAGGGGGACAGAGGTCGACCCCAAGGCCCCTCACTTGCGGGGTCCCACAAGGGTCGGTCCTCTCTCCCCTTTTGTTCAATATTTATGTGAAGCCGCTGGGAGAGATCATCCGTGGCTTTGGGGTGGATTTCCATCAGTATGCTGATGACACTCAGCTGTACATTTCCACCCCAGGCCACCCCAATGATGCCCTTGACGTGATGACCCGTTGCCTGGAGGCCGTAAGGGTCTGGATGGGGAGGAACAGACTCAGGCTCAACCCTTCCAAGACCGAGTGGCTGTGGCTGCCGGCGCCGCGGCATAGTCAGCTGACTCCATCGCTGACTATAGGGGGCGAAATTCTGGCCCCCTCGGAGAGGGTACGCAATCTGGGGGTCCTCCTGGATTCGCGGCTGACGCTGGAAGATCAGTTGTCGGCCGTGACCAGGGGGGCGTTTTATCNGGCTGGCAACCCCCAGGGGGAGGGCCTTCTCGGTGGGAGCCCCCACCCTCTGGAACGAACTACCCCCAGAGATCCGGGTGATCCCGGATCTCCCCTCCTTCCGCCGCGCCCTAAAGACATGGCTTTTTCAACAAGCGGGTCTGGCCTAGGGATTTTTAGCGGGGTTTTTTAAGGGTATTTTAAGGATAATTTTAATGATTGGCCTTCTTAAATATTTCCTTTTAATTCGGTTTTTAATAAGATATCATTGTATTTGTATTGTGGTTTTTATGAGGCTGTTAGCCGCCCTGAGTCCCATGAGGAGAAGGGCGGGGTACAAATTAAATTAATAATAATAATAATAAAATAAAAAGATGTAAACTTTTCTTTCTTCACTAAGACTATTGTTTTCTGAAAATAAAAAAGGGTAGGAAGTAACCAGAGATATATTATGCTATTACTTATGAATATGTATTACTTGTACCTATGTAATTTCTCTCCATATTTCTGAAATGTATATATATATATGAGTGCATCTCTTTGTTGGCAGGGTGTCTCACTTTTCTTTCAGAGAAGGCATTCTCACTTCCCAGTACATTCTGTTTAATAAACACTGCAGCGAGCCTTCATCATTTGCTTGTGGTCCTGCCTTTTGATTCCACACAGTTATTTGTGCACTTTCTTCTCTTGCAATGACAAAACTGGACACTGTTTCAGGTGTGGTATGACCATGCAGTGTAGAGCAGAACTATCACTTCCCATGATCTCAACATCATACCTCTGTTCATCCACCTCAAGATAAGAAATATTTTAAAATTACAGGAATAAACAGGAGTAACCCTCACTATGTTGATGACACTGCTATGATAACTGACAATATAAAAGACATGGAACCTCTACTGCTCAAAGTCAAGGAACACAATGAAACAATAAGACTATGATTAAATAAAAAGATGAAATGAATAACAATAGTTACAGCAACCACCTTTAGAATTGATAGCTTAGTGATTGATAGCTTCTGCCTTTTGTGATCTAGTGTAACAGTAAAGGAACCAGAAGTCAAAAAAATATGCTGCAGACCTGCACTTAATAGGCTAATAGGAGAAGATATTCAGATACCATGATATATTTATAATTACAAAGATCAGAGTCGTGGAGATAATGGTTTTCCTTGTGGCACTCTATGGAGGTGAAACTCTAAGCTTTGAAGAAACAGGATAGAAAGAATATTGATGGTTCTGATCTTTTGTGTGGTGAGGCAGGAAAGGATAACCAGCAACAAAGTACATGGACACAATTACAGGGAAAACAGATCACCATTGGAGGATCTGAAGTGCCAGATTCAGGAGAGATCAGAATAACAGAAAGGATGTTGGAAGGGATGTTGGAGATCTTCTAGTCCAATCCTCTGCTCAGGCAGGAAACTCTGTACATTTCAGACAAATGGCTGTCCAAATGTTCTCCTGATCATTCTGGAGAAGCTCTGTATATCTTGTGACAAAGAATCAACCCTAATTTGATGGCATGTCATAATGATAATTGATCTTTAGACTTACATATATATGCTGTGTATGTATGTGTGTG